AAATCATTTTAAAAATGATCAAAATATAAAGTTTGTTTCTGCTAGTGACTAGCAGAAACAAAACTCTTAAAAATGATCAAAATATAAAGTTTGTTTCTGCTAGTGACTAGCAGAAACAAAACTTTATATTTTGATCATTTTTAAAATGCAAACAGTGTCTCAATGGAACATTTACTACATGTTTAATAGTTTCTGGAACATATGTTCAACAAATATGTTGAACTTTGTAAATTCATTTAAAAAATAGTATACTCGTATATATATGTATATACAAAAATTCTTTTATAATGATAATAAATAAATGAAATTTTAAAACAACGTCTTTTTAACTGAGTTTTACAGTGACAAAACACATCAAAAAAAATTCTTTCTAATTACAATGTAAATATAATGTATTCAAAAAATGTAATGCATAAATGTTAAATTTTTAATCTTATTTCACGCACAATACGAATTAAAAATGGCAACCATCGAGTAAGTTTTGTTATGATTTTTTTTAAACCTTTTGGGAACCTTATGGGAAACCCGTCAAATTCCCCAGGTTATTCGGCCCTGATAAAAACCAGATAAAACCCTAACGAGCAAATATGCTTGATTTTATTACCATATGGGACCCGTCTGGAAACCAAAACACTTACCCGTCAAAATCCCGTTCCCGTAAGCCCAGACAAAAACCATACGGTACCCGTCTGTCAATGTTCGCTGGGTAATTATACCTATTACATTATTGTTATTAAATTAACTACTAAAATTAAAGATTTAATTAAATAAAATGATATTATTAAATAAATATATTACCCGACTAAATCGACCATTAGTTGATTAGTAGAAAATCCGAAGTCGATTAAATCGACTATTAGATTTTTTAAAGTCGACTACTTTCGACTAGTCAACTTTTAGTCGATTTAGTCGAAGTCAATTACAACACTAAGAATAACGCTTTTTCTTTTAAGGAAAATATTAAAAACAAAGAAAATAACATTGAAATAAAATTATTCTTTCATTAGAAGTTTCAAAAAAATCATTAGAAGTCCCAAACTTTTACAGATTCGAAATAAATATGGCGTAATCTTATAAGTCTCATAACCCATCAATCATCGCTATTGTCACTAGAACCAGTGCTACTATTAGGATCCTCGAGAGAATCGTCCATGAAATTCAATTCAACCTCTTCTTCTTCGCTTTCTTTTTCGTGAACTTCCTGGTTAAATGCACTTTGGCGGTGCACCTAAATAACAAAAAAAATAATAATAATAAAAATAAAATATTATCAAAGTCTAAAAACAAACTCTTTAAATTAAAATATTTTTTAAAGTCTTATTTTAGCTTTCAATGTGGGTGGTACACCCCCATTAATTTTAGAAATTTTTTTAAAAATTAATTTTTCAAATATTGATATTTTTAGTTCATAGAACATATTTATAATTTTTTTTTTTTAAAATAAAATAAATAAATATGTAAAAATGTGTGTATTTTGGCCATTAAAGGGTTTTGAGGTCCATAGCAACACCATAGCAACGCATTATTAAACAAGAAAATTTCAATTTGTTGAAGCTTCTCAACAACAATATCTTATTTATACTTCAGCTTCTTCTTTATTATGTGCTTTATGTTTAGTGCATGTTATAAATGGGCTCATGCTTTCTATTGTAATGTAACAAATTTTTTCTTTGTTCATTGTATTTTTCTTAAAACTTCATTTTTAGCAAAAATGTAATTTTTAAAATATGACATTTCCTTATATTAACTTGAAATTTTCAGGGTGCTTTTGTTATTGTTTGACTTAGGTAATGAACCAGAATTACAAATAAATATGGTGTCAAAGTATATTTAATACCTTTTATTCTTGCATTTTTTGTTAAAAATTTTAATAAATCTATTTAAAAATAATTTTAAAATGTTCTATGCATCTTCAACGCATGATTCAGGTTCATAACCTCTTCGCATATTTCAGGAACATAATGTGAAAATTTCAGAACAAAATGATTAATAGAAATGGAGATATCTTGTTTTAAATTATACCCACTTTTGCGTAATTTTTATGGAACAAGTGAGAAAAAAGTTGACAAATCAAGATTTCATATTTAGAAAAATATTAGCATACTTGATTCAACTTGTGTGCTGGTGTTTTTTATTTTTTTTCGATTATTTTAAAGAAAATATTTTGAATGGGGGTGTAACACCTTAATCGATTTATATAATGCGTTGCATATGAACGCACTAATTCAAATCGAATATAATTATGTTGCTGTTTGGTAATTACTAACTATTAACGCATTTCTAGAACTAAAAAAATTGCTTAAAAACGTTTGAAGCAAACTGTAAGTTTAAAAAATATTGTTGGAACAAGACTTAAAGCTAGAGTCGGTGGCGGAAGCGGAGCTCGATGCAATACGATGAGCTACGAGCAGCCCAAAAGCGAAGCTCGATGCAGTAGAGAAAACCAGAAGATGTCGCAGAAGACCAGACGGAGGATTTCTCGAAGTGGAGGGTTTTGGGGGCCTGAATCAGACAATAATGCTCTTATTAGGGAAAATAAAGTTCACGTGTGACATACGTTGCCTTTTTAGGTTCATTGTAAATAAGGCGACGCCTCAGGAAAGCCTGAGCGCTTCAGCGCCTCAGCGCATCATCAAGCCAATAAAAGCGAACGTTTTATTAATTTGAATGAAGCTTACGCCTTAGTACAAAAATCTAACGCCTCGCACTGAGGCGTACGCCTCACCCCTTTGAGGTGTAGTTTTAAACCTGATCTTTGTTAAATTAATAATATAATGATCTTTACATACTAATAGTATAATAATCTTTATATACTACAGTTTTATTTTAAATAATTAAAAAATAATGATTGTAAAAAGTGCTAGTTAAAATCACTACGGTTTATATACTAATAGCGGTACGGTTTATATACTAATAACTGTACGGTTTATATACTAATAATGGTAAAGTTTATATACTAATAACGGTACGGTTTATATACTAATAACGTACGGTTTATATACTAATAAAAAGTAAATTACAAAGTAAAACAATAAAAAAGCATAAAAATGCCTAAAAAAATAAATAAATAATATAAAGAAGTGCTAGTTAGAATCACTAAATTAGAAAGTTTATAAATCTAGCCATTGTTTTATTTCGGAAAACATTAAAAAACTTGAGATCAAATTAATAATTAGATACCAATAATAGCCAAAAATTGCACAATTTTAGTCCCCCAGCATACAAAGAAATGGATAAAAACTTGATTAATATTCTATTTTAATGGAAGACACTAAAAAAATCAAATTTTTTTTTTCCCATTTACTTTATATTATTCAAATAAGCAACAAATTATTACTAATCAAAGTAAAAATTTTTTTAAATAATTTACCCGAGTGTTCAACATATTTTTGTGCTATAACAAAATTTAAAAATGATATATCGTATATAAACATTTTCGATTTTATATTTCCAAAATCATTCATTTATATTTGATCAATTGAAGTTGTGCTATTCCCAGTGATTCGTGTTGATTTATTAATTGTTGGAATAAACCTTTTTTTAACTTGGTGTTTAGAAAGTTTTTTTAACAGTTAGTATTTTTTTTTCATAGTCAAGCACATCAAGCACATGTCATGATTCTGCACAAAAAAACCACGTTTACCATAAAAAGCGTCATTAGAAATTATTCTTTCAATCTGTTTTTCAAAAGATTTGAAATCGCCAGATGACGGTCTGTACAAAACATGTGCAATGAAAAATCCCCCTCCACCTATTACTTCGGAGCTTCTAACTTGATGAATAACTTTATAGTTTTTTAATTAAAAATTTAAATTATATATAGCTTGTTTGTCTCCATACCAAGTTTCTGTCAGACAAATAGTTTTGAAAGTAATTTTGATGCTAAACAAAAAATTCTTAAATTTTTTAAAGTTTTTTCGAAAACTCTTTATATTTAAGCGTAAAATCTATTGTAAATTACTTCTGAAAACTATTTTCCGATGTATCTTTATTTGCTCAAATAATTTTTTCACTGAAAAGTGCAACGAGTAATCCTCATTGATATATATTCCCAAAATGTTTTAGTTTATTCGAACTTTTTAAAACTTTTACATTATCTTTGTAATTTAATTGAAAGTTTCATTACTATCGTTTTTGGTCGACCTGCTTCAACTTTTCTTGATCTGTGTTCCCGTATAACTACAGTTCCTTTTAAATTGAGCTTATTTTCAAAAAATTTCAAATTTTGATTTTTCGATAAAATTTAATAACTCTGCCGTTTCACTTCACACAAAAATATTTCGTCTTTTATTTAAGATTAAAGTATTGTATTTTGCATGCCCCAACAATTTTTTAAAGGACTTTTTTTTTTAAGTTTGAAACCCGTTTCGTTGACCCTGTCTAGAGGGGTAACATCAAAAGTTTACCGCACTGGGTGACACTAACCCCAGCGATTATGAGCTTAATGTTTTTAATGTATTGTGTTTTATTTATATGTGGAAAAATGACATATCTTTACCCATTTTCAAAGATCTCTTTTGTTTGAAATTAATATATACACTTAAAAATGACATTTTTGTATATAAGCTCTTTTGTCGTACCAAGATTAATCAGTTTTGTATTGCACTCTATCTTTGGAATAAAATTGTTTTGTCTAATTTCGACATGCATTTTACTTTCCCATTTTCAGATATAAACTGAAAAATTTAATTATCTGAATGGATGATGAGTCTGGTTTTTTTAATCGTAATTTTATATTTTCTTTAGAACTTTTATTGTTAATTACGTTTTATTATATGATTATGTTTTGATCTAGTTTATATACACACGCTTGTAAAAGGTTCTGATGATAAGATAAGTACGATTTTCTTTCAGAAATATTGTTTGTGTTAGTGAAAGTAATTTATTTACTAGGACAACAAAAGTAAATAATTTTTTTTTATAAGGCCGGATGTTACAATGCGGTCTATCTGTGATTGACAGTTACGGAGCTTTAAACCCGCTACGCGAGAAGTATTGTGGCGGTTTTATTTAAATTTAAATTCCAGCGAAATTTCAATAAAACGTTTCATATCTGTTGACAATTGTAAAAGACTAGTTTTAAGATGTTTCAGTAAATTTTAAAAAGAATTTTACCATCGTACTTAAGTAGATTGGTTATACCGTAATCTTAGATGATTTCTTTAAGTTCTTCAAGAGTTTTTCAAGATGAAATAAAAGAAAAATGCGAATCTCCAGCTCGACTTCTAGTGAAAAGTTTTGCTAAATGTCCACGTTTAAGTTTTAACAAAGTTAAAGTAGGTAAAAGTGGAACATTGGATCTTCTTATTGAAAATCCTAACAACTTTCTTGTTTCATTGACTACAGATCAGTTTTCCGTTGAAACTTCGTTAGAAATTGTTATTAGCCATGATGTTTTGTTAAACAATGACAAAACTGTCACGATTGTAATACCAGAAAAGTCGTTTAAAGTATTAAAATTTAAATGGAGTCCGAAGAAAGCAGACAAAATCAGACATACCTTGTTCCTTAGATGGGACGAGGGACCTAAACTTCAGGTAATATTGCTTGGAACTGCAGAAGAAATTGGATCAACAAAAATTAATAATAGCAAGGTTATTTATTTTTTAAATGATACAAATATATTATGTTTTGCATACTTTAATTTTTAAATTCAGTTTTTTTTTTTCAGTAAAAAAACCTGAATTTAAAAAAAAACCTGAAAAACCAAAATCTTTTAAACACACACATGAACACAAAAATGTGCATTAAAAGGTTGTACAATATCTGCATTAAAACATAGTAAAAAATAATGGTATATTTTAGGGATATTGCAAGACCAATTTATTGCCTGACCAATTTAAAAGCCACTTCCAAAGCTAAGCTTTTATGGCTTTTTTTCTAAAATGTGCTATTTTATACTTATATTGCTAGCTGTTCCAAAAGATTTTCTATGTCAACATTTTTATATATGATTAACATGGTTGTATAGAGCTAAAAAAGACTAAAAAAATGAGAGGTGTTAAAAATTAGAAGGTAAGTGGACCTGAAGTTATTGTGCTTTGTTGGAAAAACAAACGATTTTTTAACAAAACACCTCATACACAAGTATTGAAATTCGAATGTGTAATGGCACCAAAATAAAATAAGAAAATATTGAAAATTTTGTGCAAAAATTAAAATAAACAATATAAAAAAATAGCATAATATACATAATTTCTGAACAAAAATCCTATGTACCAAGTCTTCAAGAAGATATGAATAGATAAATGGAGGAAAAGCTATACTTGCTTTTTTTTAAGAGAACCTTTTTATAAAAAGTGTTTTTTTTTTCTAAATAAACTAACCTTCAAGTTTTTTAATGGTGAGAACTAAGAAATTATTTATAAAAGTTAAAAAAGTTCTCCATTCCATTAAATTTCTCATCACTTTTTTAGATACTATGGAAGTTTTCAAATAACTTTAATGTGTTTTTTTACTCAGGAATCTTTAACTTCAAAAACTTCCTATGAAAAAATATTATCATAGCAAGCTTTTTTATAACTAACGGTCCTAAGACATGAATAGTATATAAATGAAGCCATATAATACTTAATACTTCATATATGTGGTTGGACAGAAGTTGGACAGAGTCAAAGTAATTGATGCAAAATCCTTCTTGTTTTGCATAATCCCTTTGTTTTTAAAATAAAATAAATACAAGTTGGGCTTTTAAAGAGTTAATTCATTGATCACATTGTTTTTTATCGGTTTGAAGTTTGGTTCGTTTTGTAAAAAAAACAATGAAATTCTTCTATGCAAAAATTTAACGTCAAAGGGAAAACCCAAATATAACATTTATAAATCGAGTTAGAAAGAACTTTTTTGTATTGATGTCAAAGTTATTAACTACAAAAGCGCATTAATCAGACCATTATTCGGAACTGGAACTTACCTTCAAGAAAAAAAAATTGCGTTTGAAATTATAAAGTTTTTCCTTAATATCGCGATAAATGATTTGTTCTGGAAAGTTTGATTAGCATGAAACTTATTTTTCAAGGATTTGTTATGACATGAACACAATTTATTGGCAGTCGGTAAAATGCGAACTGTGAACCGCAAATTGCAAACCGGTAAAATGAGAATTTCTTTGCAAACCATAGTTCTATTGGTTGTTAATAATATAATATTGTTTATTTTTCGTACCATTAAATTGTTTACTTTAATATATATATTTTATGGACTTCAAGCAGAAATAAAAATTATATTTAATTTAAAAGAAATACAATCTAATTTAAATAAAATATATCAAATTACACTATAATTAATTTAAATTAAAAATTTGACAAGCAAAATTTTTTTTAAATATCAAAACCGTAGTGGTCAGTAAAATATAATGTCTTGGTTCGCAAAAAAGTTCACATTTAACTGACTACCCAATTTATCTTTGCACGTAGGGATCACATAACGGTCAAAAAATAAATAAAGACTTGTCAACCTTTTTTTTAACATTTTGGTTTTAACAAAATCTTTAAATACTACTCATAAACTAGTTAATCATTTTTAATCGAAGTTCAGTCTATAATCAATTCAAAAAATTAGTAATAAAGAAAAAACTTTTGTTAAAAAAAACTGAAATTCAAATAAAGTTATATTTAATACGAATATTTTAAAGTAACTTGAATTAAATTTATTAATTTTTTTTTTTACATTAACATAGTTTAGAAATTTTATCAGTAAAAAAAATTGTAAAACGTGGCATTTTACAATTTTTAAAAGGATTTTAATTAAATTTAATAAAATAAATTACTAAAACTATGATTAATAATAAAATTAATTTAAATATAATAAAAATAAATACAGATAAAAAACTTTTTAAAAATGGAAGTAGAAAAAAAACTTTAAACTATCTTTTTTTTTTTTCTGATAAAAAAAATATTCCACAAATGTTTTACAACAATTAATTACAGCCTAATGTTTTCCACATAATCTGTTCTAAAATAAACTAATTAAAAAAAGTTTTTGCATAACCTAAATTGCAAAATGCGTACGTGAAATCGTGAATACGTACGTAAAATTTAAATAAGGAAACGGTTCTTAAGGCCTGATATATATACATATATATACAACCTGATATATATATATATATATATATATATATATATATATATATATATATATATATATATATATATATATATATATATATATATATATATATCAGGTTGTTAGCCAGGAAAAAAATTTATACAGTGTTTTTGCAATATTTAGAATTTAGGTGTCTTTGAATAAAAAAAAAACAGGATGTTTTTTTTTTAACTCTAAATCGATGATATAAGGTTACATTAAGAGCAGAATTTAAAAAAACAATTTATAATAATTAACTATACACTTTATTAATTAAAAAATAAAAGCAAAAAAATAAAAATAAATAAAAGCAAAATAAAAAGTTATATTTGAATATATTTCAATAAAATTGGACTAATATTTTTCAAAATTCGGTCAAAAGTTAATTATAATGAGGTTTGTTCATTTTTATTCCTAACGCTGACCACAGCACTCGCATAGCTCTGTGCAGAATATATCTGAATGTTTGCATTTGGGTTGTGTTCCGCAACTTTTCTTGCATCTACAATTTATTAATTTAACGCATGATTTTGATGCCTCAGTTAGAGTCATCTACAAAGTTGTCATTGTGTTATTTGTTTTTTTTCAATTCCAATTAGTAGCTTATGGGTAAAATCTGTTGTGGCACCAAGGATTGTCTCCATAAGATACTAAATAACTAGTTATATATAAATATCATTTTTAGATATTTAATTCAATAAATTTTTTTGAATAGACTAATAAGTTCATACAGGTATTTTAAGAAATATGTACCTTCCTTGAAACACAGCTCTTTTTTAATGCTGAAAGAGTACATCTTTTGTGACCACTAAAAAGTCACACTCTCCTGTGAATTTTTAGTGATTAGCATTCTTAAGGATATGGTGAGGTCAGTAGTGGAGCTTTTCTTATCATAATGTAAAATAACGTAGTGCTCAAACAGCAGCTGTGAATTAGGTGAAATAACTACAGTATTTGGAGATGACAAGCTAAACAATAAAACAACATATTCGACTAAATTTGTACAAAAAAGCAGACTTTTGTAGAAGTTAACTAACTAATCTTAAATTATTGCCTTTTTTTACTAAATAAACATTTACTTGCATAATGCTCTTATTAATTCTTTATCTCCATTGTTCTAGAGATTCCATACAAGCTTTTTCCCTGTCCTGAAATGAAGACTTGGTGTCACATCCAGTGAATGCAAACCATTATGAAACAGCTTCTGCTATTTCAAATATCTTTTGAGCCTAATGTTGAATTGCCATAGTTTAAGTTTTCCATCTCCAAATTCTATCCAAAGTTGCTTGATACCAGTTAATTATTTAAAATAGAAATTGAAATTGCAATAACATCTGTGTCATCTTAATACAGATAACTTGGTGCCCGCTGTCAACTGCGTTTTTAACATGTAGCAAAATTCTAGTATCAGCTTCCTCGTGTTTACAAGATGAGAAAGATTTTGAATTAAAATCTACGGAATTAGAAAAAATAGTTTCATCTAATGTTGTTACTAAAAGTTGGTCAAATGTTGTTACTAAAAGTTGGTCAAATGTGGGTACAAAGTTTATTGTAAGCATTTTAAACAACTCATTTTTCATCCAACTGTAAGAACTGTGACCAGTTTTTCCAAATAGGAATTAAATCAAAAACACATACCTTCACAACATTTCCGTGACTCTTCCTGGTGTGGTTTTTTAAACTACATTGAAATTAATGGTCAAACACAATGTCAATCTTTTTATTTCTTTATGTTTTGTTGACGTTATATTAATTATTTTTTCTCAAAACTCAATTTCAGAATACTACTTGAGTTTACTGGATGAAATATATAAACAATTGCTCTTCCATCTAACACCTTTGTAGTGATATTTTCAGGAGAAGTCAAAGTAGATGCCAACTAAAGAATATTTGGTATCTACTTTGGTTTATATAGACACTGCACCAAAGCATATGTTAGAAAACTTTGATAATTGTTCTTTAAACATAGTATAGTATACATAGTTTAGTATAGTAAAATAATACAGAAAATTTTTAAAATAAAATGTCCCCGCTAAAACTGAAAAGCATAGTTGAAGAATGTGCAAGTTTATTGGAAATAGAGATTTGTCTTCCAATTGATTTATTTCTTTATGTTTTGTTTTTGCAATTTAATTTATCAATAAACAATGCTGTAAATCTTTCTAATTAAATCCAATAATTAAAAAATCTAACAATGATTTATTTTATCAAGAGTATTATGGACTGTTGAGTGAAAATCTACTAGCTGAAATGTCCTCTTTTACATTAAACTATCTTACTTGTGTAAAACCAAGTTTTGTTGAAACTATAAATACAACTCAAGAAATCACTGGTATATAGATAAAGTTTACATTATCTTATTGGATTTATTTTTCAAAAATTGTTTATTAAATTTCAAATTAGTAAAAGTTAATCTAAGTATAACCAACAGTGTGTTTCAATTTTATTGCACTGCAGAGTTATGGAAGATAATTCTCAGACTTGTAAATATTAGAGATAGAGGAGGTTT